ATCGAATATCATAATTTCGCGCGTATCTGTAACGGGTTTTATATTCAGGGTCAATTTATATCTCACGATTACAAATACTATAGTATAACATTTGAACGATAGATGTTTCGATAAAGTAGAAATAATCTCTCTTCTGCGAAAATTTCGATTAAGCGCCATTTGTTCTCACTTGAAAATTGCACGCGCGTGTGAATATCTTTATAAATGTGACAATTCCAACGAGTTAAGATTCTTTAGATAAACTTAAAAATAAAAATACGAGACAAGACCGATTTAATCTTTAACGCCAAATTATTGCGTAATTCAGATTTGATGCGAATTTTTACGAAGGAAAGGTTTGACGCGAGGTGTACGAAACATTTCGCGCACATTAAAAGCCGCGTAGTATAAAGAAAATCGATGTGTTTCGAAACGAGGCAAGGTGCCGATTCGCTTTGTGGCAAAGCGATCAAGGTCCTTCTTATCCTACGGAGAGGCTCGCGATAAGATAAGGCCACCGACGGTGCTCGTACTTCCGATCGTGCTTTAACGTTTTGTTCGCGCTTTGGTATTTTCTTATATTCGCGGTCGCGTAATTAATTTTATTCACCTTGCATGACGCGTTCTCCTACTTTTTTTTATTTTTCTTTTTCTTTTTCTAATCATGTGCGCGCCTCGCCCGTGAATCCAACGCGATAAAGTATTTTATAGCGGTATTAATGCGAGATCGAAGCGCGAAACTATCACGACAACTCATGCTGGCTGTCACCTTCGCCATCCTAGAATATGTTTGTACACGTGCTCGAAACATTCTGCAACGATTATAAATTTGGAGAACGCAGTTAGGTCGCAGTTAAAACGTATCCGATGCGTCATCGCTCGTCTCGCGATAAAGTCGTATTCTTTTTTTCTTCTTCTTTTTTTCCGAGAAAATTTGAAACATCTTTCACTCGCGAGTATGCGTAATCTCAGTATGTAGCCGGTGCAAATATTTGAATGATGTAACATATACGTTGCGACGGTAGATTTTAGAATAAGAACGTCAAGGTTACATTTTGCGCAGATTATCGAAGCTGTTCGCTCTTCTCGCTCTCGACAACAAACGACAAACGGAAATTTATTTTTATGCAGGAAATAATGTAGCGTTATTCACATATATATACAAGAGTTTATATAACAATGACGCGTGCATACTTGTGTAACTATATTCTATTTCAGAAACTATCGCATATTTCTTTTCAAGCGTAATCACATCGTAAATAACAATTTTAATTCCGGGAAATTCTCAAAAATCTCTTATTTACGATAAAAAAATTGACGGATCAGATTTCACTCAGAAAAATAATTAAAGATTTATAAGAGAAATCTACAATACCGAAGCAGCATCTTTTAGTACGACGATGTACGTTGGATTTTCCCAAGTTATGATATTATATATTCTAAGAAACTCAGTCAAGTGTGCACTAGAGTCAAAGCAATTCAACGACGATACGTAAACGCTTTCTTATCTGCGCAACACATCGCGTCTGTAATCTTGCGAGATGATATTAGCCAAAGCGTAGCTCGTAAAAGCAAATTAGCTCAAAACATTTGCAGAGGATGTATCTTGGAGCGGTCGAAAAATATTTTAATCATCGCGCGTAGTAATCTTTTAATATTTAACATCTCCCGATTATACGTAAGACTTTTGTTAACATTGTTATCGACGCGACAGTCGCGATCGAAAATTAAAAAGCGACGATCGAGTCGAATGTTTCGCGAACGTTTAATGAAATTGTCGAGTACGTTAAGAAAGAAAGCTTTCGCTACAATTGTACGCGAGCAAAGTGGCATCGTCACCGGAGCGAATGTAGCAGGGTGGAACGCTTATGTTAATGAGCCCGCGCGATTATCAGACAAGGACGGCGAGCGCGGAGATGATGCCGTGGCGATAGAGACAGCCAGACCGGATATAAAGAAGGCCAAAGAGGAGAAGTACCGGATAATCGTCGTCATCGCACATACCGACTATCGACGTTTTTAACCCCCGACTGCTTTTCGCGAGGTGAGCCCCGGCAAAGAAAAAAGCCGCGAACAAACGTACGCGCACACCTGCACCAGAGGCGACCTCCCTCCCACCTGCGGGCACCCGAAGGTTCGAAAGATACCGCAAAGAAGACGACGACTTTCGACGCACCTGAGCGATAGATATACTTGGCGCATCTACGTATCTGATAATTATTCCTTTCGATCCAAGACTAATGCCATTTGGGCAACGAAATTTTGCCAAAGATATTTTCCGTAACAAACTGCATTTTCGCGAAAAATGGAGTTTTTTTTGTCTTATTGTATTTATACAAGTGACAGAACTTTTGGCAGATTAATTAGATTAGATTTTAATCGCTTCATTTTTTTCATTGTTATTATAAATCTAAATAATCTCGACAAATCCGCATTAAAGTTGGCGATTGATGATTAAATTATTCAAGCAATTTTGTACATTTTTGAAAAATCCATCTGTATTTCCTATTCTCCGCCGGAGCCAACTGTGCAACGGTGACCAGGAAGATCCTGGTTGTGAGGCACGATAACGGATTCTCGAAGTATACTGTTACTACGCCTGAGAGAACGTACTAGTGAGCGACTACCGGACGATTGGCACGGAACGAAGTATCGAACCGTAAAACAATTGTCTAAAAATATCCGCGACGCGAAAAAAAAAGCTCGTCAATCTGTGGATCCAGTCATGGAATAATGTCGAATCAATTGAAGACGAGAATAATCTTAATAATCAAAATTTTTCACAACGCGAAGGAATTAATAGACATTATGGAATCATGAAATATAATAAGAATTCATTTAACAGTCATTTGAAGAATATTATATAAGAATATTAAATAGTTTTAATCGACTGTATCGCGTTGAAAAATAACTACCATTGTTACAATAATCTAGCGCAAATGATTTTATATTTCATTGTCCATTTCTCGTAATTTCTTCGGCAATTGTAATTTCACATAAAATTACAAATTCCAAATTGATCCGGAAAAAGGGTAAAAAAATTGAATGCTCAATTAACGCGCGAATCTACTGACATCGTTCTCGATTAATACATATGTCAGTTGCATATTGCAAAAGACTTATTTTTTCTCGCGCTCGAGACAAGAGTAAGTACCACAAGTCACGTAAACGAAACGTGAAGATTTATCATCGATTAGAATACCATTTTGTACAAATAGCGGAATATATCGCGATTATCAGCGATACGAAGCAGTATAAGTACAGCAAAGCATAGCATAAATGGCGGCAAGAGGCGAGCTTTGCGAGAGATTCCTTCGACCACGCGATAGTTTTTCGTAAAACCTCGCGTGACTGCAAAAGTCCTTCTTCCGCTTTTTTTCCTCCAACTACCCTTCCACGCGCATTGATCCAAGAAAAAAGTTTACATACGCCTTTACACAAAGTTTTACTCCGATTCGCGAGATGCACGTGCGAGTGTTCTTTCGCGTGACAGCAAATTATTATGTCCGCTCTAACGACAAATTACTCACATGTATTAATATGCAAAGCATTTCAGAAATTTTGCACTTTTAATTAAGCAGAAGACAAAGAGAGAAAACCAATTTTAAGAAATTATATACATGTAAAATTTAATTGATAAGTGACACTATCTTAAAGCGATCTTGTGAATCGATCCTTAATTCTTAGAGATGTAAATAAAAATAATAAAGCTATATATATTTCTGGTCTAATCTAAATTTAAGTATTTTCTCTAACAAGATCTCAATTTAATAATTATTTAAAAAATTATTTAAATTTTTGTTCAATATAACAAAAAATGAAAATTTGTACAAAAATACGATATTTAATGATATTATAAAACAATAAGTTTAAATTGCTTAAAAAGTGCATAAAATCATAAAAAAAAGCAATTTTTTAGAAAACCTATATAATTTTATCATCCTTTATAGTAATCTGTAAAATTGCTTTGAAATTGCGCAAGGATGTTTTCTTTAATAATAAATGAAGACACACGTGGCTTTCTCGATACTGAACAAGATATCAACAGTGTGTTGCAACACTCGTTTCACGTGATATAATCGAATATGCATATATTTTTTTTTATAATAATTTTGATATTACAGTATATTTCACTACGCATGGCAAAGAAGCACTATCAACTGTATTGATCCTATAAAAATCAATCCTGTCGAACGTGACGGAAAATTTGTTGGCGACTAAAAAACGCACACTATCGACTTTACACACCTCTTTGAGTTACATTTTCTGCAGCAAAATTCCGTAATCAAATTTGTAACTTGAAGTGCGATAACAAAGACAAAAAAACTTGAAAAGTAGAGAACCATTTCCTCTCTTTTTTATCATATATATAATCTATTTGTAAAAATTTCAATGCATAAATATCAAATTTACCATTTTCAAAATCATTTTGTCAGGAATCGTAAAATCTTATTTACTCCGAATGATGCGTATAATTTAAAGATTAATGTGTAATTTACTCCAAATTTCGAGTCATAAATGTAAAATTACGCTTTAAAATATGTGTCGAAACATCAGTTCTCGTCAAGTTTTTGTCCAAGAGAGAAGATGAAAATGTTGTAATTCGATTTGTTCTCGAGACATTGAGCCTTTTTCAGCAAGCGACATAGAAGACACAGTGTATCGTTTCATCCTTGTTGATTGCCGAATGTAAACAAGGCTGAAATGATTCACTGTCCTCTGCTGAAAAACGCCCACTGCGTCAAATATATATCTATATATTGACGTATATAAATAGTATATAAATAAAGAGAATAATCTTTTTTCACATTAATTTAAAAATTAATATATAAGTGTAGCGAAAGAACAAATTAAAATTACAACAGACAAATCGTGATTCAGCATGTTGCAGCAATTTTCCTCTGGGAAAACTCTGCGATCGCGATCGCGAAAAGGAAAAACGAATAATCAATCGTAAATAATATCCGAGGAATAAACGCGTAGGCGGCCGAAAGGCGCAGGTACCTCCGCGAGGGAATTACCTGAAGTAATGCGATCCGAAGGGCGAGCAGAAGAAGGGGTCGTTGTGCATGTGCGGCTGTCCAGGTACCCCCGGTCCCTGAGGATGCGCGTGCGGCCCCATCGGGCCGCTGGGCCCGGGGCCGCACATACCGGGCGCGCCTTGAGGCTGCATACCGACCGGCCCCATCATGCCGGCCGGGCCCATCGGATGGGGCGCCGCTGGATGATGCGGGGAGCCGACCATGTGGGGTCCCGGGTGATGGGGATGGGGCGAGGGCCCGCCGCCCCCCATGTGGGGGTGAGGGGTGTGGGGCGAGCCGCTCATCATGCCGTGAGGGGGCATCGGATGGGGACTCGGCGAGGCGCCGTTGAGATGGGGCGCGGCGTTTACGCCGCCGTGCGGGGTCGGCGGGCCGCCGTGCGTCGGGGTCGTCGCCGGCTGCGGCGGCGGCAGACTCGGCGGGCCCCCCGGGCCCGTGCCCGCGAGCGGCGGCAACGGGCCGTTGGCCATGTTGTTGAGCTGCGTAAGCGATGCCGCCGCCGACGCCATCGCCTGCAGAGGATTCGTGGCCCCGCTCGCCGTGGTGATGCCTAGGGCGTTGTTGCCGAGATGATGGTTGCTGTTGACGGGGTTGTTGGGATTGCCGCCACCGAGCGGATTGTTCGCGCTGCCGTTACCGTGGTTGATATTGTTGGGATTGACGTTGCTGTTAGCGGCGACGCCGCCGCCGAGGGATTGCAGGGACGGTGGCAGCGGTGGCGAGCCGGCGGGGGGCGCTGCCGGGCCCCCGAGGCACCGGCCCGACGGACCGGGGGCGGTTACGCTGCTGGGCGCTACCGGCACGCCGGCGTGGAGTGGGATTCCACCTGGAGGGCGCTGTGCCACGCTCACCGCCGGCATCACTCCCCCCTCCACGACGCTCCGCGCTCTTCACCCTCGCCGCGAACTTCCGCCGGGATTTGGATCGGACTGTCGAGAGCTTTCCCTCTTCTTCCCTCCCTCGCTCCCTTCTTCCCTGTCTCTCTCTCTCTCTCTCTCTTTCTTTCTCTCTCTTCTTTTCGCCTCGCTTTCTATCCTCTTCTTTCTCGAGCTTGGACGACAAGGTTCGAAACGTAATCTTCGTACCGCGTGCTAGTCGCTATCCCGCGCTTCTCCCAAACATCCATCCAACTCTTCAGTCTTGAGAAATTTCTGCTCTCAAAATATCGACGATGTTGCTCGATTCTCCTGTCGCGAACAATCACTGCGAGGGTTACGTATCACTGCACATTAGGGGAACGAGTATATCTCGACACAAGTGACAAGAACGAAGCACGTGTTTTATTCCCGCGTACACATCGGACGGAAGATATCGTGGCGGACGTTACGGATTTCTTCTAGTTTCACTCGAAATATCCAAGAAATATACTCCAAGTATATCGCGCGAGGAAGAATCTTTCGCCTACGCGTAAAGAAAATGACAGCCACCTGTTCGCGTCTTTCCGCGACGAGCCGAGCTCGTAAATCTCTGCGACGAATCTCCTCTCGCGATCGTGCACGGTCAACTCGATTCACCAGCAGTCACCGCGCCAAGTATTTCAAACACACACACATTTATATATATTCACTTTTCCGCTATATCGAGTCGCTTCCAACACATGCCCGCGCGCGCGCGCGCGTCTGTCTCGGCTCTGTTTATACGTGAAAAACTCCAAGTTATAGACGTCGAGTATACACACCGATCGCGTGTCGGACGACGCCGCGGTTACGACATACTCGGCACGCAATCACCTGGCACACAAAGAGGGGGAGAGTTAATGCCACTGGCCAACGACGACGCGTCCGGCGCGGCACGTGGCCGTCACGTCGTGTCGGTGGACGTCGGTGTCGCGACGCGCAGCAGCACCTACGTCGCGGATCAGCGCTACTCGTCGCCAGCCGGCCATCCTCGCGCCACCGAAACCTCTCTTCACCCTCCCGCCTACTCACTTCCTCCGACACCTACGCGACCAACACGCCGCTACCTACGCTCCGCGCCGGCTGCTGCTCCCGCGGGATCCCTCGCATCCCTTCTCCCTCCCGCCCGGCCCCGGCCCCGGCTCCGGCCCCCCCTCAGTCGCCGCTCGGCGACCCGAAAACCAAGCCGACGCGAGCACGCCGCTGCTGCTGCTGCCGCCGCCGCCGCTGCTGCTGCTGCTGCTGCTGCTGCTGCTGCTGCTGCTCGATCGACGACGTTACGCGTCTCGGCATTCTCTTTTGGCGCGCTTCGACGATACGAAACTCGGCGGCCACCGCGGACACCGGTTACCGGCCACGACGCACTCCGAGAGATACTTGGGATACGCTACGCGCCGTTCGATTCGTTCTCTTTGTTTACGGCCACTCACAAACGTTGCGGTGTAAACGGCCTCGCGCGTAGTACCGAGGCTTTCGAATCACTCGACACTCGTCTCGATGTTTACTCACAAAGGACGCGCTCGGGAAACACTCGCGACGCGACGCGACACTGTGACGCATCGACACAATTGAAAAAGAACGACGTGTGTACGCACGACGCGCGTTGCCGCCGCGCTGCGTGTCACAGAGCGATCAACACGCGACACGAGCGACAGGAATCCGAGTACCAAACTCCACGAAAGCGCTCGCGTTACTGAGGAGCGGCGAGCACGACGGCGCTGTGATCGGCCCTCCTGTCGAGGACGCGGCGCGGCGAAGACTGGCGGCTGGCGGGGCGAGGAGAGGAAGGCGACGCGCGGCAGCGTCGCGCGAAGGAGTGGGGGGAGAAGATCGCAGGACCGCCGCGGTGGGGCGGCGAGCGAGGGGGAAGGGGAAAGGGATGCCGGGCGACGAGAAAACTTCGTATACGATACCCGCGAGAATGAAAGAGGCGGAGGGGTGCCACGTGAGCGCGCGACGTCCACGCAATGGATCCTAACCTCACGTGTCGTTCTCCCGGCGAGCCCTTTCGAGTCACCCGCAGGATTTCGAGAACGCGAGTATAGAGTGTGATAACGCGGATATATGAAATTTCCAAGTAGGGAATATCTGGGAAATATCGTGCCGCTGGACGAGTTCGTGTTTGAAATTAATCTAAAGGCGGCTGATGAATTTAGTTGAAATTGCGTGGCGTTTTTGTTATCTGCGAGAAAAATCGGGCAATTTTTCTCCTTTTCGCTCTGAGCTAGACTGTTATTTAATCCGATATATCGCGCGTATGTCTCAACACGTCTAATCGATCTTTCCGCGCTCCGATTTCCTCCGCCGATACATGTCGAATGCACGCAAATATTTTATACTTGTAATCTTTCGCTCCCTTCCAAATTGTTTGGAATCGATGTAAAAATCGTTGCGAGATGTAAGGAATTTTCCAATCGCGTTGCGAGTTGCGATTTAACGCGGCTTGTTTGGGAAATTTGTTACGTACACACGAGATGCGGCCGCGTAACTAGATCCGGAAACACTGGTGTCCGATTCAGTTTGGTAAATTATTGCTCGTAAAGGAGGAAGAGCTATTCGTATCTATATGGCCAAAGTCGGCGAGGATACCAAGTTTCACTTTCCGTGCGATTCGAATCGCTCGACCACCTTCCCCCTTTCCGCTTTCTATCTCCACGGTAAGGATTGATTCGAGAGTGTCCGCTAGGATCACCGTAGTCCGGAAATCCGATTCATCGTAATCGGGGTCAAGTTGAACGTATTTGTACGACGTGAGGAAGAAGAATGATCTTTCGTCGTCTTGACGCGCATCGACATGCCGTATTGATCAATCGATTCGCAAACGCAAACACGACTGTATTTATCCAGTGATTCGTCACGATATTATTTTGCGTTTGTATCTTTTGATATTAAAAAGAAAAATTAAGTTGTAAGAAAAATCCAAACTTGTAATTAACTTTTTCAAAATGAACCTGCATAATTATCTTACACATTTTTCCAATAAAATATAATTATGTCACATCAAATATATTCATAATCAAATTTAACATTTTTATTTAATTGTGTAAATAATAATCCACTTATTCTTTAATTTAAAATTTTAAAAAAAATCTCAAACAAAATGTAATTTTTGCCACAAATTTTTTCTCTCCGTCTCTTTGGAATGCGAAAAAATATTTTTATAGGATTGAGGATCATCAAGAGAAAGAGAGAGAGAGAGAGAAAGAAAGTGAAAGAAAAAGAAAAATTTAATATATCTCTTATATATGTTTTCAAAATTAAATCTTTTCCTCTAGATAATTTTTAGACAAATTTTAAATTTTCATTTTCGACAATATACACAACTTGAATTTTACAAAATTACTTTTTCCTGCTTTTTGAAAATCTTTATTAGCAAAAATTATGCATTCAATTATCGAAAATATTTTTGTATTATTAATATATTATTAAATAAGAAGAAATTGAAATTGTATGATGGTACAAAAAGAATCATCGCCGTATCCCAATCACAGGTAACAACAACAGGTAACAACGTCATATCGTGTATTGTAATCGACTATATTCAAAATTGCACTATTCACTTTGCGATACGTTGTACACGTTATATACCATATAAAATCAGAATCAATAAAAATTAATTAATTGCTAAAGTGTCATATCAATGAATTCAAAGTTCAATAGATCGGACAATTCCAACATAAGTCTTATCATTAGTCGTGACATTTACTATCTTTACGCCATTTTTTTTTACAATTTATTAATTAACTAGATTATCACCGAAGTAATTTCGGATTTAAAAGTAATTGACTCGCGCTCACTTTGCGTTGCAAGTTGAAGAAATAGTTTGTGAATCATTGTCGAGCGGAGAGCCAATTAAGATATAGAAATGAAAAGAGAAAGATAGAAAAATGTAAAAATTTGCAACAATTTAAATGCTAAATTTATTCGATTTTATTTATTCGTTGTGTTTATCTAATCATTCAAACCGCATGATGAATTATCGTTAATCAACAATTAATGAGAGAAAAAAGTTATTTAAATAAATCAATAAATGGTCACTGTAATTAAAATAATTAAACATTATAATAATGATTATAATAGTCTCATGTTTAAATAATGTATAATTCTAAAATATATAAAATAAATATATAATTAAAATACTCTTATTTTTATAAATATTTAATAAAATAATTATGTCTCGTAATAAATAATCCTCAAAATTCTGCAGGATAATATAACATATGTCAAAAAAGAAAATAAGTTTGAAACGATATAAAGTTGGCAATGAGGCTTCAACTGAGACTTAAGTCGGTCCTAGTGTGGAACAAAACTCGAGTAATTCAGTGCCTAACTATGCAGATACAGTTTGAGACAAGAGATATTGTCCACGTGCAAAGAGGTCACAAGTCGATCGTTTACAAAACGACGCTAGAGAAATTCCAGATATACTTTGTCGTTTAACACGTTTTTTGAACTTTAACTTTCCGACTTATGATGGGAAAAGTTTGTTCGTATGTTTGTCAAAGAAAAAAACAAGAGAGAGAGAGAGAGAGAGAGAATGTCTCAGATATATTTAACGTATATTTAACTTACATCTTCGCCAAATGTACCAGCGTCAAAAATAGAATGACTCGACATTCGGGCATAAAACGCGATCATCACGGACGTTTTTCAGAATCGGAATCGTGCCAGCCTAGTAGAACCTGTTACCATAATAACATTCTACTTCTTGATCCCGAGTTCATCGAACTCTTGCGCTCCCTCGCTGACTTCCTTTCGTTTGTTACAAATCGCTACGCTATCTCCAACGGCAATTAGTGCCTGCCAAGTTTCGTCGATAAATAAAAAAATTTCGACGCAACTTTAATTCTTCGACTTGAATCGAGACGCTTTTTGTCATCGCTCTACCATTTTGGGAGCCGCGTGAGCGTGGCGACGTTCGCGGGATCCGAATGAAATTTTTTGGACGTGGGTGGTGTTTCTAGTCTACACCTCACGTACAGCCTTCTGGCATCCTCGCCTAGCTCGCGGTTGGAAGAGAGAGCTGGCCTAGGGATGAACTACCAAGAATTCTCCGGGACCATTAATCTATTTCGTGTGACAACCAGAGTCCTCTCTCCCTCTACTTTCCCTTTTGTCCTTTCGAGACACCCTCGCTCATGGTTCTAGGCGTATTCGATGCAGGTAGGCATATCTACCTACCAACCTAGACCCAACCTGATCCGAGAAAACCGAACGGCATTGTCCGAACAACCAGATGGACTAAGCAGCCTCGGATTCGGCATGATTCGCTCATTGTTCCGCCCGAGAGGCAAAAGTGAAGGAACACCAACGAAAATAATGACAAATTGCGACAAGAGAAAATATACTTGTCGTCGATCGCATCTATTTCCGGTAGATCCACCTGTTTCATTAGACGCCGCAAAAACGAGTTACATCTCGAGCGAGATAGGCTACTTTTTTTCTAGGATGGATCGAAGTCGGTGGATCTATATCTCGGCATAATTGATCGCGGACAGCGGGCGAGCGCCTGCGTAAGAGCGATGTGGTACTTTGTGCCTCTTTCACGCTGATTTGTGGTTTGCACCCCGCACGCAGGTTGGCCGAGCAAGCGGTGGGAGTCGATTATCTCTCCCTTCGCGGAGCGAACCGTTCACGTATCACGTCTATACATGACGTACGGCGTGTATTTACCTTTGCGCTTCGCAGCGAGTTAATGCTTGACGGCTTCTTCGGCAGCTGCGCGAATATGTATAAGCGATTGGAAAAAGATTCAACGATACGATTGTAAAAAGTTTCGTAAGAGAATACGTTAATTTATCGATATACGCGAGAATTATATTATATTCAAAAATAATAATCGATGCTTTCGACACGTAAAATTACTCAAATTTTGATATAATTGCTCTCATTAATAAAGAATAATAATAATAATAACAATGATGATAACTCAAACAGTGATGCTAATTGATGATTACTCGCAAAGTTTAATTTATCTCATTAATTTTACAAATTTCCAATGTATTTTATTCGCCTTGTTTCTTGCAAAAATAATGAAATTAAATCTAAACTTTTTTCCTTCTCTTTAGTTTCTCAATTTAAAGAAACATGATTTATAAATTATAAAAAAGATTCAACAGAATTTGTTATAAGCCCTGCTGTATAAATTTGTTATAAAAATAAATAATATATCGCACAAGATCTTTAAGTTGCAATTTTTAAAGTTATTTGCAGTATTTATATAATAAATGCAAAATTGAAAAGATCGGTTACTTTACAAGATGCTTTAGAAGAATGAATTTCGGGCGGAATTTTACGTACATCTTTTTCCTTGAATCTATCAAAATGCCACGCGCCAAGTCTCATCGGAGCCATCGAAGGATTCATCGAAGTGAATCCTTACGACAAAGTTCGTTGTTCGGGGCAGCGCGCGCGTACGAGAGTATCGGGGCCATCAAGTAGACCAGCGGGCGTCGCTAAAGAAGAAGGAACAATTAGAGGCCAAATAAAGACGAGGAGAGTCACAGTCGAGTGGGTTCGCAATGAGCGTGTGTGTGATTTCGGTCACGCCGTGCGCCTGTACGTTGACCTCCGCTCGACAGGAGCGACAGAGAGATCCGAGGAGAGGCAGGCGGAAAAGAGACGAAACGAGAGAGAAAGAGCGAGAGACAGAGAGACGGCAAAGAGGTACGGAGGAACCGAGAGGATAGCATTTACTCAGCGTTCGTTCCTTCCTCCTCCCGACCGAGAGAGCCCTTCGACTCGCCTCGATTCGAAC